CTCGCAGTCTCACGTCCTCCCTCCCCATCTTCATCCTCGTCCTCCCTCCCCATCTTCATCCTCCTCCCCATCTTCATCCTCGTCCTCCCTCCCCATCTTCATCCTCGTCCTTCCCTCCCCTCACTGCTCTCACTCACCTCAGCTTCACTATGGTTGTTCCAGCTTGAGTGCATCGCAGGTCGAAGCGGCGATCCCCCCAGGGGTAGGGGTAAGGCCACTCGCCAGCCCCAGGAGGAACGTAAGGACGAGCCACTCCGTCCACGACCTTGTCGTCGGAGCCGTCGGTGGAGGTGGAGGGTTCGTAGATGCCGTCGGCATACCCAGAGGTAGGCTGCAGCTGGCAGAGGGTTTGGTTGAACCCGTCCGTGCTGTCTGTGACGAGTTGCCACCTAGAGGGTAGGAAGAGATGAGAGGGGAGAGGGGAGTTGGGAGAGAGGAGAAGGGAGAGGAGATGAGGGGAGTTAGACGAGAGGAGGAGGAGAAGACAGGAAATCGAGGAGGAGCAAAGGGAGGAGAGAGCGGAAAGAGGAGCTACCGTCAGCTACAAGCAGCAAAGAAGACAATGACGGAGGAAATGGAGGTGGAGAAGGACGGTGAATGGTAGGAAATGGAGGGTCAGGGGGGCTGGAGTGTTTTGAGCGTGCGGAGGACAGCAGGAGGGTTGAACAACAAGGGGCAGGAGAGAGGGAGGACGGGGCGGTCGCAGAGGAAGGTAGAGGAAGGTAGAGTGGTACCTGTATCCTGTCCCTGGGTTCTCGTTCATGCGGATGAGGATCATGTCTCCAGCATTTACATAGATCGACTTCTGGGTCTCGGATGCAGACCAATGCCTGGCATCGCTCGTCAGCCGAAGAAGCAGAGCAGGAAGGAGGGGGCAAGACTAGCCTGTAAACTTCCGCAAATCGGACTTCATGGATGATGTTGTCTACTTTGGCCAAGACAACCGCTGATATCGCAACAGTGACGGCGAGCAAGAGATAATGTCGGTTCATCCTGGGAACAAAGGAGCCGTCAGATCAAAACACCTCACGACCAAAACATATGAAACGTTTCTGCCCTTGCGCAATCAGCAGAGGTAAAGAATAGTAAAAGTTGAGCAATGCAGCGCTCAAGACGCAAATCTAGCTATCAACGATGGTATGAACGAGAATAAAACCACAGTAAATGTTTCGCAACAAGGTTTCCTGTCGCACTATACAGAGAATCATGATGAAGAGAAATGAACACAAGAGCAATGGAGAAGAATGAATCGAAATAGCTCTAGACAAGGACCATTCGAGGATATGATCACCAAGAAGATTGAGAGCAGTGCTAGGCATGTGAGGTCCAGCATAAGTAGATCCTGAGATCCATACATGGGAGAGGAGACGGATACAGTAAATGCAGTAATGTTCCGGTGATACATGAGAAAGAGGTTGTGGGGAGGCGGAAATGGTTGAGTTGGAAGAACCAGAGGAGGAAGAGAAGCATGAGTATTAGCACGATGGGGTGCAGGAGGAGGCAGAAACTGGAGCAAGATCAGGATCAGGATCAGCAGGATCAGAAGAGCAAGCAAGATAGCAGGGGGCAGGATCAGCAAGACGTGGAAAAGAGCAAGTAGGATCAGGATCAGCAGGATCAGCAAGAGGTGGAGCAGGAGGAGGGAACGTAGGAGCAGGAGACAGGAGCAGCAAGGGACGGAGGTGGTGGAGGAGGAGGATGAGCAGTAGGAGCAGGAAGCAGGAGCAGCAGGGGAAGGAGGTGGTGAATGAGAAGTAGGAGCAGGAGGCAGGAGCAGTAAGGGAAGGAGGTGGAGGAGGAGGATGAGAAGTAGGAGCAGGAGGCAGGAGCAGCAAGGGAAGGAGGTGGTGGTGGAGGAGGAGAAGAAGTAGGAGCAGGAGGCAGGAGCAGCAAGGGAAGGAGGTGGAGGAGGAAACGTAGGAGCAGGAGGCAGGAGCAGCAAGGGAAGGAGGTGGAGGAGGAGGAGGAGAAGTAGGAGCAGGAGGCAGGAGCAGCAAGGGACGGAGGTGGTGGAGGACGAAGGGATTGCGAGGGGACAATCTGCATCGCCAGTGGGACAACCGCTAAGGATATTGCTCGTACGTAGGGGTGGTATGCAGAATGGAGGCTTTGAGAGGGTGGGGGTAGACAATCGAAGACCTGTTTGTCCCAAGATAAAGTGGGAATTTGGAGGGGTACATTTAGGATAGTCGTTCATAGATGTGGGGTAGTCCAAATTAGAGAGGGGTATTAGCAGTCTGGGGGTAGGGGTGATGATCTATCCGTCCGTTATTAGATACCGTTACGCATTGGTAACGATGATTCTCGCCCTTCACGAGTCACTCAGTAAATACTCAGTGAGCCGCCGGGCCCGGGCCGCCGACGTTGGCTCAGCCGCTTCCGACCGGCGTGCCGGGCTGAAACGGGCTAGCCTAGTAGTCCTCGTACTGATTTTAACTTAACTTTGAGTAAAGAAGTAGGCTAGTAGGCGTCAGGCCGGCCCCGGGCCGGGTGCCCGGCGGTGGCGTGACGGTGAGCCTCGCCGAGTCGGAGCGCCGGCCCGGACCGGCGTCGGCCGGGGGCGCCGGGCCCCGGCGGAGCGGCCCGGCGCACTGCGGCAGTGAAAGTTCGCCGAGTCACTGTGACTTCAAGTTGACCGTCGGACGTTTAAGTTCAGCGGCAGACTAGTACTAATCACGGCAAACGCGACGGTCACCGCCGTGACCGTACGGATCGGACTTTCGGAACTTCCTTGCCGACTGGAGCCGGAACTTCCGGCGGCGGCCCGGCGGCCCCCGAAACGCCGCCGGGCCGGGGCCGCCGCAGTCTCCGAAGTTTCTGAAGTGACGGTGATTCAACGGTCAGTATAAGCCTTTCCGAGTGATGAAGGACTGCCTCGCGCGGCCGAAGTTGCGGCGTTTGGGCTCAGAATGATTGGTAGCCAATTCAGGCCTTCCGAAGTTCTGCAGTGCAAGCGGCTCAAGGCTTCAATGGCTCCGACATGAGTCACTGAGTTTCAAGTAGTACTGTAGTGGAATGATCCGACAGGATCCTTCAAGGCTTCATGTTCCCGGCGTTCAAGGCTACACTGCCAAACCATCCGATCGGCACCCGGATGATTCCGACTGAGGCCCTTCCGAACCTTTTCTCACTCGGACTCCGGGACTCGGGGACGGTCACCGTTGCCCGTGGGCCCGGGCCGGCCCGGACTCCGGCACAGTGCGCGGCCGGGCCCAGTGCGGCCCGGCCGCCCGGCCTGCGGTCCCGGTCCCCGGCCGGGCGGGCCCGGGGCATGATGGAACTCCGAACTCGGAAATCTTTTTTTTTAATTTTTTTCATCTTTTTCTAAGTTTTTTGTTTCTTGTGAGAGTAGAAACCCGTCATCTTTCCTTGGCACTCACCCCATTTCACCCCCGAATTTACAGGGGTGGTGAAGTTGGTCTCACCCCCTCTTATAATGGGATTAGGAGGGGTCATACGGCTCAAAAATTTCAGTCAAATCCCGCCGTTGTTCTGGACGGCTTCTTGGGGGGTAGGGTATTTTTCCAGTAGGTGGGGGGTGAAGATGTTTGTGTCGGTGGGGTGGTCAGGAGAAAATGGGGTACAATTTGCAAGGAAAACCCAATAGCAATTGATAGACTACCACGGGTGGATAATTTCTGTACCGGGTGTCTTACCAATATAAGTACAAGGTAGGGGTACTGTGGATCGTGTCCAAGGGTGGGGGTACGGGGTAGGGGTTTTAAGGGGGGGGGGAGCAAGGTACTGCGACAGCCATGCGCAAGACTCTCGTTCTCGCCTCCGTCGCCGCCGCCTCCGCCTACGTGAGCAGCCCCGTCGGGCTTGCGGGAGGAAGGACCTCGAACAAGGTGAGAAGAGCTGGAGAGAAGCAGGAGCAGGAGGACAGAAGTTTTGTACCGTTGATGCTGCTGTTTCATGGCGGAATTCGTTAGAGTGTGTAGTTTCGAGTAGGGCATCAACGGACAGTCGGGAGGGTTAGAGTGAGTGTGCTGCAGTATGCGCTTCATCGATGTTGCGATGTGCATGGATCAGTGATGGAGCGTACAACTAGAATGATAGAGGGAGAGAGAGGCAGAGGCAAGAAATTGAAACCAACAAACTCGTAATCTACAGCTGACTCCATGCACAGCCTGCCATCAGCTCTTCGACCTTCACCCCCCGCCTCAGGAGCGCCGCCCCCATCCATGGCGTCGAGGTTGCCAGGGCCGGGCGCATGGCCTCCAGCATCACCATGTCCGCGAAGAAGAAGTCTGTCAAGGACCTCACCCCTGCTGAGCTCAAGGGCAAGAAGGTTCTGATCCGCTGCGATCTCAACGTCCCCCTTGATGGCAAGAAGATCACCGACGACACCCGTAAGCTCTTCCCCTCCTCTCCTTGCACATGTTCTCCTTATCCTCCACTCGTGCTTGCTTCCGTCCCCAGTCATCCTTCCTCGTTTGCCAACAGCCGTCTCTTAGTCCCTCTCAGGTATCCGTGCCTCGGTCCCCACCATCAAGTACCTCCTTGACAACGGTGCCCGTGTCGCCATCTCTTCCCATCTTGGCCGCCCCAAGAACGGACCTGAGGACAAGTTCTCCCTCTCCCCTTGCGCCACCCGCCTCTCCGAGCTCCTCGGTCAGAAGCTACTTGTCCACGGTGGGCAACCAGTCCTAACGCTTGTGCTGCAGGCAAGGATGTCAAGATGGCCAAGGACTGCATCGGCCCTGAGGTGAAGTCCCTCGTGGACGGCTTGAAGGACGGTGAGGCCTGCGTCCTCGAGAACGTCCGCTTCTACAAGGAGGAGGAGAAGAACGAGAAGTCCTTCTCCGAGAAGCTCGCCGCCCCCTTTGACATGTATGTCAACGATGCCTTCGGTACCGCGCACAGGGCTCACTCCTCCACCGCTGGCGTGACCGAGTTCCTCTCCCCGTCCGTCTCCGGCTTCCTCCTCCAGAAGGAGCTGGACTACCTTGAGGGAGCTGTTGCCAACCCCAAGCGCCCCTTCGCTGCCATCGTCGGAGGCTCCAAGGTTTCCTCCAAGATCGGAGTGATCGAGTCTCTCCTCGAGAAGTGCGACAAGCTCATCATTGGAGGCGGCATGGTGTTCACCTTCCTCAAGGCCCGCGGCCTCAACGTCGGCTCCTCCCTCGTCGAGGAGGACAAGCTCGAGCTCGCCAGGACCCTCGAGGCCAAGGCCAAGGCCAAGGGAGTCAAGTTCATCCTCCCCTCCGACGTCGTCCTTGCCGACAAGTTCGATGCCAACGCCAACACCAAGGTCGCCAAGGCCTCCGACATCCCCGACGGCTGGATGGGTCTCGACAATGGCCCCGAGGCCACCAAGGAGATTCAGGCGGCTCTCTCCGACTGCAAGACCATCATCTGGAACGGACCCATGGGTGTGTTCGAGATGGACAAGTTCGCCGTCGGCACCAACGCCGTCGCCCAGACCCTCGCTGAGTGCACCAAGAAGGGAGCTATTACCATCATCGGAGGAGGAGACTCCGTTGCTGCTGTCGAGAAGGCCGGCCTTGCCGAGCAGATGTCCCACATCTCCACTGGAGGAGGAGCCTCCCTCGAGCTCCTTGAGGGCCAGGTCCTCCCCGGTGTTGCCGCCCTCGACTCCCTCGGCTCCTCCTCCAAGGCCAGCGGCCCTGTTGTGACTGGCGCTACCTATAAGGACACCGCCTACTTCAAGAACAAGAACCCCTGGGATGTTTAAAGGCTTCGGCGTTTGACTTGTGACAGTGACGTGATTGGATAAAGGATAGCTGTATTTTTGTTTCCAACTCATTTCCCTTCCCCTTCCTCTCCTCGCCCTCGTATCTCTCTACATTACGTGGCTGCATCATCACCAGTTCCAGTTCTCTTGCGATGTTTCCTCCTTTAATCTCCCGCCCTCCCTCTGCACAGCTCAATGTTCGATTTCTTTCATTCGTCGTAGGGGCACCAAACGTTGCTCATCGCAACGTACACAGACTGTCAGGACATGATCAATACTTGCACCTCCTCTCCTCTCCTCTCCTCTCCTCTCCTCTCCTCTCCTCTCCTCTCTCTCTCTCTCTCTCTCTCTCTCTCTCTCTCTCTCTCTCTCTCTCTCTACTAC